GAAAGTGTAGGGTGCTTAAAAAAATTACACTTGGTTAACTTTAAACAATCGCTGCAGTGGGTGGAAGAAGAAATAGCAACTGTTGCCACAGTCAGTAAAAAACAGCATTTGGTAAAAGAAACAAAATTATGCCAACAAAAATCTCCAAAACATAAATATATAAAGCACATTGAGCAAATATTTAAGAGCTACTCTTTCAATAGTTTCACAAGAATATATTTTATTCATATTTATGCATATTTTTGCTTATTTTGTTGTTAAAATAATTGGATTTGCTTGATACTTAGATAAATGTTTATATAATATTTTACCAAAGAACCACATAAGTTTGAAAACACATATTGACTTCCAGATAAAAAAACTCATAAGTTAACGAAATTTTTCAAACTATAAAAACTTTGCTTACAGCGCGAAGGGACGGACGTACGAGTACCAAGTAAAACAAATTTTACATCCTTTTTTTTTTTGGTAGTTTCTGTTAAAAAGTTTTCAGTTTTCAAAAGATGCATCTTAGCACAGATGAATGGGGCACTCTTTTAAGTATTCGCCTGAAAAAGTACAATGGCAGTCATAATGTGTGACTGTATGTGTGAGTGAGCAAGTGTTTGACGACAATAAACAACGCCATTTTTCATTTTAACATTTCTGCATAACAGGACAACAGCAATGAAGAGGTAGTTGACAACTACAAGCAACAGAAAATGTTAATGTATGTGCACTTCGAGGCAAATTTGAGTTCTGTTCAGCAACAAAATGTTACTAAAATGCTGCAATAAAACTTTTGTTTTATGTGCTAAATAGAAATGAGAATGGAGAGACGGAACGGGACGGGACGGGACGGTAAACTGTTCTTCACTTGGTAAACAATAAATATAGTAAAAACTTTTTATATAAGTTTTTAGTTTTTTATGTTCGTTGTAAAATGAGTAACAAAACATATGCAAAATTCTTAAAGTTTTCATAAGAATTATGAAACTGATAAGTGCGATTTTGTTTAAATCGAAAAAAAAAACACAATTTCTTTTTAGATTATAGAATGTTTAGAAACAAAAGGAAACAAAATAAGATAGAAAAAGATTATTTCATATGAAAATAAAACTATTCACTTGAATTTAATATTTATGGATGTATCATAAAATTAAAAAAAAAATAGGTTAGGTTGAGTGATACCGGCAATCCTAACGCTACTCTTTAGCATATTGATCTTATAAGAAAGAGGTTTAAAAACCATCTTAAATTTTTGAAAAAGCATTTTAGAGGCAGCTCTTTAAGTAACCTAAGAACCTCAAAGTATAGAGCCCCTAAAACAATAAATCAGCGCGGCGTATGTGTTGGGCAATTACAAACCAGATGTGAGGCACTCAACTGCCACAGAAATAATTAAATGGGACATCCAATCTTCTAGTATTGTTCCTTATTTCATTGTGAAGCGTGAGCAAACCTACCACAAGACTGATGTCTTCACGGGGCATCTCAATAACAGTACAGGATTTTTTTTCAAAAAAACGGACTCCAATAGAAACCTAAAACTCTACTCAGTTCCAATGCAGAAAGTACTGTTAAAATTGCATTTACGAAACTAGTCCAAAACATAGAACTCCAAAAAGTAATCTTCATCAATAACCGCACAGGTTGGTTTAAAAACATAATTTTTCATTATCTAGTATGTGATATCAAAATAGCCTAAGAGTTAATTGTAACTCCTAGTAGGGGAAGCGGTGTCACTATTAAAACCATTACTTAACGTTTTAGGTGTCTGAATTTTATAAAATAGATTGCATCCTACTAATAAATTTTGCGTCTAAAAACTTAAAAAGTAAGACTTTTTAAAGTTTTACTATTATTCACATTCATATTATGAATCAGCAGAATATATGTTGTGAGTTTTTTTCTGTTACTATATTTATTGTGATTCCCACCCTTAAAAAGTTCGTTCCAGTGATAAAGGTACATTTGCTCAATGTATTCTATCTTTGAATTCAATAG